CAATATACGGCTTATTACGGTAATTCCGTCTGCAAATGACAGCAGCTTTCTGGCAGAGCGGGAAGGAAGGATTTGAACAGAGAGATACGAAGTGCGGCAGGTTAGAGTGTTTTGGATTGCATAAAATAGTAAAAGAAACTAACAAATACATCGCGAAAGAAGTGGTAGACAGCAGAAGAGGGGATTGGGATGATTTTTAATTAAACTTGGGAGGCGGATGGTCGTTACTCGTTCACGTATCTTTATATGTGGTGTATGCATGTGTGCCTATGAATGGACGCATTTGTATGTGTGCGTGTATGAAAAAAGTGTCCTAAATGAAAACTGTGCAACCCAATGTCACAAAAAAGACTTGTATCTGATGTATTATACTTCATTTTTCAACTTTAAAGTGTTAGTTCCTTTCGTTTGTGATTTTTCTGTTTTTTTCTAAATAAAAAATCAGAAAATTTATTATCGTTTTTTAAAACTTTTGTCTATTTAAATTCTATTTACAAACTCACCACACACAATAATGGTCAATAACTGTAATTTGTTGAAAGCTAATCTTTTTCTGAAAAAGATGACACCTTGCACATGAAGATAGCACATTATTTTAGAATTTTACAGTCAAAAAATCAAAATGTGTGAAAAACACCTATTTTAGATTCAGGTTCTAAAGGGTTAACATGTTTATAAATAACTGAAAAAAGCACAAATGTCAGTGCATGTCAAAACATCCCAAGGGCCCCAAAAACCCCTTGGTCCCCAGAGGGTTAATGTACCTTTTCTTAATAAAAACAGTTTACTGGCAAATTAAAGACACAAAAATGATCAGACAGGGCTAAATCCTTAACCATGACAGATAAAATATCAAGACCTTTAGAAATAACCAGATCTAAAATGTGACCATGAGTATGTGTACGCTCTTTCACATGTTGAGTGAGGTCAAAAGTGTCTAGAAGTGCAAAAAATTCTTTGACATTATTGTCTGTACTATATTATCTGTATGAATATTAAAATCCCCTGTAATAATAAACAACTTAAAATCAACCGATATAATAGAGAGTAATTCAGCAAAATCTTCAATAAAATTAGCAGAATATCGCGGTGGTCTATAAATCGTTAAAAACAAAATTTTGGGAGTACCCTTCAATATAAAACAAAGATATTCAAACAAAGTAAAATGACCTAATTTATTTTCTTTACACTGATATGTATCTTTAAATAAGGCAGCCACCCCTCCTCCTTTCCTACCATTTCGACATGTAGTCAAATACGCAAATTTTTCAGGAGCTGTCTCATTAAGGATAGTAGCACTACAGTCCTCTGTAAGCCATGTTTCAGTGAGAAACATAAAATCTAAGTTATAGGATGATATATTATAATTTCCCAAGAATGATTTGTTGGCAAGGGATCTAATGTTAAGTAAGGCCAATTTAATAGATATAGTGGGGGATCCTAAACTAGTAGGTTGACGTGGTACAGTTAACAGATTAGACAGATTTATTTTATTAGTTAGTTATTTTATTAGTTTATTAGTCATCACGATTCCTTCTATTTCCAATCATCACAGGAATAGAAATACCGGGTCCTAGCTTATACTCAACACAGTCAGCAAAGTTATTTTCACAATGGCAGGGACCCGGAACACATCACTTAGTGTTTTTTGTGCTCTGTATAGTTAATGGACAAGATGCTTGATGATGTGGCAGTTGTCTAAGCACTCGTTTTAAAAAACGGGGTGGGGAGGGACAAAGAGAAGATCGAGGTTTGCTCACTTTGGTTAAAACTAACTCCCTCATAGATGAATGTCATGAAGGAGAGGAGGGTGTATGTAATAATTGCGGGGGATGCGAATGAGGTAGAAATGGTAGTGAGAGAGTTGGGTGGTGTTTCTGATTCTGAAAGCGATTGTTTGTAATTGGAGAAGCTGGGATGAGTGAAATGGATAATCTGCCTATGAATACTGTCCTTGTTTCTTGTCTTATTTGAGAAAGGCATCCCAACATCATGACGTATATTAGCACCAAGCAAACGGCACCCCATGATATTTGGATGTACCCCATCTGATCTAAAATGGTCTTTACAGTTCCAAAAAATATTAAAATTGTCAATGAACCTTATCCCATGGTTGAGGCAAGCCGATGTCAGCCATGTATTCAGCCCGAGGAGTCTGCTAAAAGATTCAATTCCTTTTCCCATAGTTGGAAAGGGACCTGAGATAAAAACTTGTTGTTGGAGATTATTTATTTCCTTCAATAGCAAAGAGAAATCCTTTTTTAGGATCTCAGATCCCGTTTTCCTTTGTAGAATGTCGAAAGACCCAGTGTGGATAATAATCTGCATGTTGCTTGGATATGTGGAGAGAACAACTGGCAACATTTCTGTTAGCTCTCTAACCGATGTATCAGGCAGTGTTAGATTTTCAGTCTTTGCCATTCTGATATGTTTGGTTATATCATCCCCAATCAAGATCGTATCTAACTTATCCGTAAGGTTAGCAATGTTTCTTCTTTCGCCCATACTATAGTAGTTTTAGGGCCATTCCTTAGATTTTGTTTGGACCTTGTGCGAGTACTGTAGTATGCGTCCCTATACATTTCATTCTGAGTCAAAGGTTCGTACCTATTTTGTAGCACGATTTTAGGCGGTGATCTGAGGACGGGCGCTCTCATTCTTGATTTCCCGTTTGACTTATCCCTGCGTCGCACAACATCAGACCAGGTCCCCGCTGGAGTTGACGCCTTCGGTCTAGCCCCGTACCTGTGCCAACAAGACGAGCCACTGGGGAAGGTCGACTTGAAAGCCTCCCCGGCCAAACCAGTAGGCTCATTTTGTAAATTTAAGCAACTACTAGACGCACAAACTGGGTGCGGATGAGGAGTCAATAAAATTGACGAGTGTCTGTGACCCGTTAAAAATACAAACACATTTTTTTCACGGGTTTATTTTAACGTGCAAACAGCAGAACAGATCAACAACATAACCTGGATTCACATTAAATGTTCACGCACTTGGCAGTGACAACAGAGAAAAACAGAATAAAATAATATAAATAAAAAACATAAAATAGGCCTACACTAAATATTTTTTTTAACTTAAATAATAAACAAATTAAGATGACAAAAAGAAATCACTGAATCTGTTTGAAGCTTTGAAAAAACTTTGAAAGCTTTGAAGCTTTTTTCCCTCTCCAGACTAAGTTTTTTCTTCAAATAAAAATAGCAGGCCTACCTCAATCCACGCATTGTCTAGTTTTTATTTAAAAAAAGTAACATGTCTACATGATGTGGGGTTAGTCTGGAGCGCAGCCTGGCTGTTGAGTTAGACCCACGGCAGAAAGTACCCTCTCCGATGGCACAGATGTCCCGGGAACAGCAGATGTCTCGAGTGGCCAGCTTCGGGAAGCTACTTTCATTTGCTTGTGGATGTTTGCTTCGCAAGTGATATTGCATTGTACTTGTAACCACTGCTGTATTTAAATACCGCGTAGCATATTTTGCAATTGACTTCGTCGCCCTTTCTGTCGAAATGGTCCCACACAGTAGGCCTACTACTTCGCTCGCTCGCTTCATTTTGCTTGCTCATCTAAATATGTCTGTAGGCACGTGTGGTTGCGCGTCGACGCGCCCCGTGAGGTAACAAATATAGGCTATATGGTATTTTTTTAACCATGCAGCAAAAAATATATATATATATTTTTTAACTTTCCGTTTAACTGATCAATATTAATCGGTCAAAAATTTTACTTTCGGTTAACGATACTACCATATTTCTTCAAAAGCAGATCGTGGAGACATTAAATCATCCACGATCAAAAATCGTGATATTGCATAAGCACAAGTATAAAACGACTGTTATGTCTGAAAACAAACAAGTAACGGAGTTTACAAAACTGTATCGCACGCGTGCTACAGTTGTACATTTATTCATCGCACAGACCAATCTTTTCGTTGATATATGTCGCACTGTACAGCCCTGTACAGGACCCTTTTTAACAAACGTTTGGTGTAGGTCTACTAGGCATAGAGATATCTGAACATCTTTGCCAAGCGCAAACCAGTACAGAAGTAATCAATAAATTATTGGGGAGGGTCATGCTTTCATTCACAGTCATTTTGTAGGGTCATAGAAAAATGTATTGCTGGCAAAGGGAGGGTCAAGTCTATTTTGACTATAGATCTCAAAACTCCTCCGGTAGCCCCTTAAATAAAAAACGAACAGTCCCCAAGTAATATTAATTAACTACATGTACTTACTATAGAGTTATAGTTAGGGTTTAGGTTTGGTTTAGGGTTGTTACTTGTAATTATGCATAATTTACCGTAATTACTATAGTAAATACAGGTAGTAATGTGTAACTACGTCACCTTAAAATAAAGTGTTACCCTAATTTCTGCTCACCTTCAGCAGAAATGGTATCCCACATTCTTTAGAACATTTGCAGTACATTTGTGGCAGATAGACACAGGTGTCATTATGTGCTAATCTACGCTTTGTAAACAAAGCGAAAAACGCTAAGCATTTTGACAGCTTTGCCTTTATTGTTACCATCAAGCAACAGGGATAAACAGCGGCTGCAAATTAAAAAATACAGTGTGAACACAATCCAGCAGGGGGAGGGGGAGTTCGAATTTGGGTTCAGACCAGGTGTGATCTGACCAATCAAACTGAGATTCAGTCCTCTGTTGAGAATGTAGGTAATCACCGCAATACTGATATAGAGCCATATTGCCCGATTTGATGCATTTTTTTCTTATCTATCTGGTCTAGCAGGGTTTAAATTTGCACTGTCAATGGGTGTTGATATGGTCATGCTCTGACAGATGAAATGAAATGACTGATTAATTATTTATTCTTTTTTATTGGCTGCTACCATACTGGGGTTTACTTCAACATAACCGTTATGTGGTCAGTGCAATGTGGTCATCTCTGTTTGTGTTCCATGGAAGAAAATTAGACCTACAGCTTTGAAGCGACATGAGGATGAACAAAATTAAAACTCATGCTTTAATTACCAGGATGAAGCTGGGGTTGTTGCGGTTCCTCCAACTGAAGGACGGGACACTGATCTCAGGGTAGAGTTTCTCATGCAGTACCTCACAGCCATTGTGAGTATGGCCACTCAGAATGAGGCGGGGTTTGAACCACCACAAGAGCTGTTATTGAAGAAGATTGTCTGCTTTTATTATTCATATATTGTATATAACGTTTTTGGCTTATTCTGGTCAAGAAGACAGACATCTGAATATCTTTGAAAGAGTTGATGCCATGAACCTCAAAGACTTTGTCAAATGCAGCTTTTCCTCAGAAGCGATCATTCGTTTCCACATGGTTTGATATAAATATGTGCATCGCTAAATCCCAGAAATTGTATCAACATATGATTTTGGAAAGCTTGTCAGAGGGTAAAGACTGAGGACGAGAGTACAGCACCCCTCGATTAAAAGTAGCTAATCTGGTTAACGTCACGTGTCACCATATCCGGCTCCCTGACCAAGTCTACACGCTCACAAATGTTCTAATTATGACAAACAAAGTGTAAACACAGTAAATAAGATATTCACTGTGCAGTCTGTTTCTTTGATTATAATTATTTTTGCAATTGACAGCCAAGCATTTTTTGCTGTATATATTCCATTCACAATTTCATTAAAAGTTTTGTTTTTCATGCTGCTAAGAAGACCAACAGCTATGTATACTACAAAGTTTCAGGAGTGACAACCTTATTTAATTACGGGCTTGAGTCTGATATAGTCTTCAACAAGCATGCTCAGCATAACACTATATTGGTCTAAAAGAGATAAGTGAGAGCCACAGCTAGCTAAGGTGAGAAAGTAACGCAAATTTAGTGCATTACTTTCCATAAAAAAAATAACTAATTGTTTTGTTTTTTTGGGAGTAACACCATATTGTAACGCATTACACTCCCAACACTGCTTAAAATTGTGTTTACTGAGCATCTTGTTTTTTACCTTTTTAGAGGCATTCTTAGATATAACATCATAACGTTCCTGAAACAGCTGGTACCGTTCATCCAGAGGGGCTGCGTCCACACCTGTACACATGGCATCACTCACTCTATACAGAGGGTAATGCTAGGAAACATCAATGCATTATTACAGTGAAGAAAATAATACTGCAATTTCTAAATAAATGCACTTATTAGAAATACCATAAAATACTACACCTTACTAGAACTACATGTGAATAATAAAAATCTATTTTAGTTATCGTGATATATACAGAAAAATGCACACCATCTCACCTGTAGTAGAACAGGCGCTGTTGGGGCAAAATTCTCTGTGTCCCTGCACTGGCCATCATGTTGTGCACCCTAACAGAGTTAAAAGTACACAAGAACACCCGCAATAGAATCAGTCAACATCTGCATTACAACATTTTCACATATCCATAACATATTCACAAAAAAATCTTAAGGCTAAAAGTTGATCCTAATGTGGAAATTTAGGAGCAACTCTTAACAATTAGGGGTGTGTCACTCTTAATTTTTTAGAACTTGTACATTTGTCTTTTAATAGAAATTCACAAAGCATTTTAACGCTAAAAGTAGCTCCTAAACCTAGAGAATCTCAAAAAAGATCCGTAGCACGGCTGCTGTTGTCAATACGTGTGTCACATATAGTGGAATATTACATTGACTTTTTTAAAAGGCATCACCTGTATCGCAAGGGTATTTTATGTGCAGTTACTCCAGTTTGGCTTTCTTTGTCTTATCTTTGGCGGTTCTGTATTATTATTCATCACTATATGCGTTAGTTTAATTGAGTGAGGGAAACTGAATAGAATTAGCCGTAGGAGCGTGCTCAGAAAAAGTGCCATTCTCTATATTAACAAGGTCAACCCTGAGTAAGCTCTTATTTTAAGAGTTGCTTAGTAACACTTTCTCTTATGAGTTTTGTGAATAGGCTTTAAGCTAAAACTAAAATGCTAAGATAGTGGCAAGATAACATTATTTATAAATATAGCCCCTGATGTGGTTTTCATAACAAATTCCATCTTAAATCTTCACTGATATCTACAGTTTATGAAACAGGTTACAGTAGTGCATAATTGTGCCAAAAGGAACTAGCTTTCAAAGGAAACTCCCTCTTACTGTTAGACTCACAGATAAGTCCAAAAATTATTAGGGGTTTAAGCACGAAGTGCTGAAAACCTATTGTAATTGTCCTGATTTGTATTAGGGGTTCAAGCACGAAGTGCTGAAATTTTCATTCAATTTTCACCTACTTTTTCAAACTCCTCCTAGACCCTTTGTCCGAATTTTACCAAAATGGAATTGTATCATCTCCAGACCGTGCCGACTAAAAGTAATGGATTCCGTGACGATAGACAAAATCCTCTTCGTATACCGCAGCATCAAAGTTGAGGCATGCTGCTAAAATGACTATTCAGGCTTTATCTCTGCAGTGCCTTGACATTTTGACACCAAACTTTGTATGTGTCATTGTCACCACACTCTGACCACATCACATTGATTTCGTAACTGCGCCACCTATTGGTCGAAAGTGATAATCCATTAAATCATATTTGTAGTTACTGTTTGTGATTTTTCAGCCATTTTGCCAAAATTCATCTTTAAATGTCTTTAATTGCTCCTTGCTGCAGTTGGTCTGATGCTCCCAGCCATGTTGCATATGTTATCGTCTTCTTGCGCTTGGCCCCGATAATTGCTGCTTGCAGCTATATTTAGGGGCCAAGCACTGAAAGTGCGGAGGCACCTATTGTATCTGTTCCCGTTCCTATTATTATCATTCTTCATTCTTCCGACTGGGAGTCTATGGCAGCCCATAGAACCGCTTGCGGGAAAGTTGTAACGGTTTGACATTCTGATAGAGGACAGTCCCAACATCAAATACACCAATTTTGGTGTGTCTAACTCATTCCCTCTAGCGCCACCAACTGTCCAAAGTTTCACTCATGTTTATGCTAATAACTTTTGAACCATAAGGCCTATCAACAAAATTTTCTTCTGATCCCTGAGCTTACGACGATTCGATTGCAGCCTATGACGTCATTTTTCATCATAAAAATATGTCCGCCATTTTGAATTGTCCAAAAAACCTACTTTTTCAAACTCGTCCTAGACGGTTTGTCCGATTTGCACGAAAATCACACCAGATCATCTTCAGGCAGTGGGGACAAAAAGTTATGGAATTCAAGTTGATTCGTCAAACCGTTCTCGAATACCCTGCAATCAAATTTTACGTAGCGCTTGCAAAAACAGACTTAAGGCTGTATCTCCGCAACGCTTTATCGTATTCAGACGAAACTTGGTACATGTCATCACAAGCATGACCTGAGGCTACATACTGCGTTTCGGCGCAGCGCCACCTACTGGTCCGGATATATGAAAAATGTCTATTTTGGCTTATAACTTTTGAACGGTTTGCCCAAAAATCATAAAAGGTGTCTCTTTAGATTCAGGGCGACACGCCGAGTCGAATGATAATTTTGAATTATGTGCTAAAATGCTGTATTTTATGAACACATAAACGGATTGTCACGAAACTCTGTATGGGTCATCACCACGATGCCCTGAAGGAGCCTGAGAAGTTTCGAAACAGCACCACCTAGTGGTGCATTTTTTCTCTCCAATAGCTTATAATTCTTATAACTTTGGGTGTGGCCTACTTTTTCTCACGAGACTCATCTCGTTAGACTCCTGAATACTTGCCGAGTCCAACGATACCACCCATGCTAGGTTTCGCCTTACGGTTTGTGTAGCGTTGTGATTTAGCGCTTAAAAAACATTTGCCAGTATATTCGAAACCGTTAGACCGATCGAGATGAAACCACCATCAGAAGTTTGGAAACATAGGTCGTTGGCTATACGCTAATGTCAAAATGCCAAAATATTGATAGTAAGGGGTTGTAAAATCCAATCAAAGTCAGGTGTCAGTAATTTTTTAAGTGTTTCTTCATATAAATGTCTATAACTCTGAAGCGAATTGAGATATTTTCACCAAAATTGACACAGATGTATGGGCTCACTCTGAGGACACAAAAAAAAAATGGTGGGATTGAGCCTCTTGGTGGCGCTATAATAGAAAAAAACATGAAATTGCCATTGACTTCAATACAGTTCTATACAGTTCAATACAAATGCCATACTTAACAAATGCATTGCTGTAACATTACGAAACTCAGTATGTGCCATAAGCACCATGCCCTGAAGGTAATCAAAAGATTGAAACAGCGCCACCTTTTGGTCAAAAGTTATAATTTAATGTACAAAAATGCTAACTTTTGAATAAATTTGCCTATTGTAATGACACTGATCTTAATAGATTCCTTGGGTTATGCCGAAAACATAGATACCAGGTTTGCCATAATCAGCCAAACTTCCTGTCCGCAATCTTTATTTTCTTTTAAAACCTTCTTTTTCGAACTTCTCCTAGACCGTTGGTCCGATTTTCACCAAAATCGAATCGTGTCATCTCCAGACCGTGCCGACTAAACGTTATGGATTTCGTGACGATAAATGAAACCGTTTTCGTATACCATCAAAGTTGAGGCATGCTGCCAAAATGACTATTCAGGCTTTATCTCTGCAATGCCTTCACATTTTGACACCAAACTTTGTATGTGTCATTGTCACCTCACTCTAATCACAACGCATCGATTTCATAACTGCGCCACCTATTGGTTGAAAGTGATAAACCATTAAATCATTTTATAAGTTATATAATTTAAGCCATTTTGCCTAAATTGATCTTTAAATGTCTTTAATTGCTCCTTGCAGCAGTTGGTCTGAAACTCCCAGCCATGTTGGCATGTCTTGTCGTCTGCTTTTGCGCTTGGCCCCGGTCATGGCTGCTTGCAGCTATATTTTTTATTATTATTATTATTATTATTCCGCCGTAAAACGAATCGTGCAGACCAAACCGTAAATGCTAGACTTGAAACTTTGCCAGATGGTAGTACAAAAATCGAGGAGAGGTTCAGAGAATATGACCCAAATTGGCCCATAGGTGGCGCTACAGCAACCAAAAGCGCGAAACTGAAAATAGGCGTGGCAAAATACACTCAAAAGCCTATAAATCCTAAACGAAAACTCAGAACTTCACGAAAATTGGTGGGCATATGTGACATAACATCCTCAACATGCATGGACAATTTTATGTAGATCAAACCATAGGTGGCGCTATAACTGTTAAAAACATTTGAAAACCATATATTTCCTATGGTAAATTGCCTGTCTTACATTGTGAGTAACATGTCTATATATTGTGTGCACACAGTAGAAACTTCACAAAACTGTGTAGATATGGAGAACAACTGATTTTGACTGGAACTATAGATTTATATCATTTGCGTATTCTCCATCATGGATATGTTATGGTTTCAGACCTACATTTCGGGTTCGGCCTAGAGCCCAACAGCATAGTTGGCATGAAGGTCTTAAATGCTTGAACCCCGTTAATTGCTGCTTGCAGCTATATTTATTATTATTTTAGTGTTTTATTTTATATGTGATCATAAGATGTGGTTTATGATAAACATTTCAATTTAGATTTACTGCATGTCATAAGCTGTCACAGGTCAATTCAAATAAGTGTAAAGTTATTGTGTGCAGCTCAAAACTTTATAAGTCGACAAGTATTTATCTTAATGCCCTTTTTCATTTGTATTTATTTCTATAATTAATATGTGTGGCCTTCTAACCTTTTAACCTGTGTATTTTTGTGGACTGTTCTGTGTAAACTCTAATGAGAAAAGTTTTGTAGAACTCAAACTACAATCAAGAACTTTAACAAGAATCAATCACTTTAATAAATATATCATCAGCTCAAAATAGCTAAAAGTATTCCTAATATGTTGGACTTTTTTATTGAAAGTAGCCTACATTTACCTGTTGAGAGACATGCCTTCACAAGCAACTGTATGAGCTGTATTAGTGATGTTTGAGTTGAGGCATTCATCGGCTTAGGATGCTTAGGGCACAATTTAAATGTATGCTGGAAGTATTTTTTAAATTAAGAATTAAAAAATACATATTAGTAGTCAATAATAAATAAAAATAAGTAAAATATAATTATAATGTAATTAAATAAAGTATAATAAATAAAATTATATATATTATAAGTAAATATAAGCAAATTGATGAATTTAACAAACGCATAGACTATCGATTAACAACCTTGGATCGGATTATCAGCCATATCCACCTGTAGCCCAAGACTGGTTGCCCACTGAAGCTAAGCAGGGTTGAGCCTGGTTAGTAATTGGATGGGAGACCTCCTGGGAAAACTAGGTTGCTGTTAGAAGAGGTGTTAGTGAGCCCAGCAGGGAGTGCTCACCCTGTTTTCTGTT